TTTGGCTGTTTTCAGGCTGTTCAGTATCTCAAAGTTCCACTCATATACTGGTAGAATCTGTCAGTCCTTTAGAGAATTAACTCCCGCAAGCCCCTAATCACAGATTTCCAAATGTTTCAGCCTCCTAGTGGTGGGTGCTTCAAGTTAGACAATGGAAAATCTGATCACTACGTAAGAGAATTTGCTTTGAAGTAAACTGATATAAAAAAACGTTCGCAATACAAGAAAAAAAAAAACCAACCACATCATGGAAGGTAGAGAACATCATCACACATTTTTATCCAAATCCACACAAAAGACAACCCCCTCTCTATACACAAATACTTGAACATTCCAAAAAGTTTAGGATAGGATTCTCTCCATTCGGTGGTAGGATAGAATTCTCTCCATTCGGTGGAAAGGACTGTCATTTGCTGTTTTAGATGCTTCCTATTTTCTGTTAGAAAATATTTGTCTAATTTAGTTGTGTGTGAGTGTGTGTGTATGTGTGTACAGGCACGTGTGTGTGTGTAAGTGATTGCAGAGGACAGAAGGTCACTGGATCCTTCGGAGCTGGAGTCACAGGTGCTTGTGAGCCGCAAGACATGGGTGCTGGGATCTAAAGTCTGGTCCTCGAAATTGAGAAACAAGCATTCTTAACTACTGTGCCATCTCTCCAGCTCCCACTTTCTTTCTTCTTGACTATAAATCTTCCCTTTATAAAAAGGAAGAAGTGTATTTCCAAACTGGGAACCACCCTCAACAGGTTCTTCCCATTCCAGTTCTTGTTTTGATTTAGTGTAGAAGACAGAGACAGTCTCAAAAACAATGGGTCACAGTTCTAATACTCTAATAAGCTCTGGGCCATATTACAAGAGAGCAGTCAGTATGCAGGATCCAAAGCTCAGTGAGCATTCAATGAATATGTGTTAAGTAGAGCCATCCTCTTGCCTTAATTGGATTAGGTTCTTGCTGAGACACACTCCAAGTATCTGTTGGTCTATAGATATATGACATGTTTATTTTATTTTGTATGTATGAGCATCTAGCCTACATGTATGTGTATGTGCCATGTGTGTGCCTGGTACTTGCAGTGACCACAAGAGATGATGAAATCTCCTGGAACGAGTCCTGGATGGTTGCGAGCCACATGGGTGCTGGGAACAGAATCTGGGTCCACTGCAAGAGCACAGATACTCTCGGCACTGAGCCATCTCTTCACTCCCTCTACTCCAACTTTTAACATCTCTTCCATCCAATTGCTATTTAATTCTTCAGAAACACGTGGCAATGCTGAAGATGTAGTTGATTGTCATAACTGGGAGATGTTCCTGGCATCTGGTAGGGGGAGGTGAGGGATGCCACCAGCCATCCATTGTAATCCATTGAACTCCTAAAATAAGAACTGTCTATCTGGAAATGCCAACATCATGCTTGCTGTTTGCTTTATTTAAACTTGTTTATGATTATCTATTATAATCTTGCCAAAAATCACTTATGGAAGATGGCTGCAATTATTAATTGAGTCTGAATGAAAACTGGAGCCTTGAAACTGATTTCCAATGGCCTTTAAGGGTAGACTGCAGCCTTCTGGCTGGATTCTCCAGATAATGTTAAACTCCTTAATACGGAGTGAGCCAAAGCAGAGGATTTGAACAGTTGTCACCAATGAGTTTTGAATCATTTGAAATCACAAGGTGAGTGCCTTTCCAGCATCATCTGTTCTCTTTGCCATTTTGAGTGTAAGAAGGTCCAGTTTTGACACTGGTGGATTTTTATGAAACTAAATGCCCATATTCATGAATACTTCCCTGAATGAGAGATAAATTTCACATGCATTCTATTAAATTGAAGGAATTACTCAGGAGGAAGAGTAATGAAGAACATCACCTGAAGGTGTATCATCAGACCCACGATCACGGAGTGAGAGGAAAGATTCCAAACTAAAATTAAAGTACATTATTCTCCACCTTAATTAGTCTTTAATATTTTTCTCTAGCACAAAGTGTTTTTCATATTTAGCATAATTTCTCTTGATAGAAAAAGAAAAAGAATTTCTCTCAATTCTTAGCATGATATTAAATCACTTTTTCTAATCTAAGTGCATACCAGACAGCTTTTAAAAAAAACCTTTAAATCCACAAATATCTTTGTAAATAATAGACTTTAAAAGATCTCAAAATGTCAAACCTGAAGCCCACTTCTAGCATGCAACATGGCCTCTTTAAAGACTTTTACTAGTAGACACACATTATATTGGGTTAATATTGACCCCTTCAAATACCCTGATATTCTGTTTGTTTTCTAGTTATGGGCATCACAGAGGTTACATATAGAGGTTTCACGAGTATTGGAAATCAAGAACCCCTCCTGAAGAACAACTGCAAGAGAGGGGAACACCTTTTCACTTGGCACAATTCCAACCATTTGTTTAACAGTGCTTACCGGTTTCTATCAAACTATATTAAAAAAAAAAAAAAAACTTCAATTTTACATTTCCTCAAGACAGCTGAATGAGTTAACTGGCCTACAGCCATTTGCAATTAGAGTACAGCCATTCACAATTAGAACTGCAGGCTTAGTTAGTTAGTTAGTTAACTTCTACAACCACGTGCTTCCTTCAGTGAACACATGTGGAAAGTTTTCCCGGAAGCTGAGCATCTCCAAAGATTGTTAGTGATCTCAGAGAAGAGTCTACTTAAGTGGGAGCATTGGAAAATTCAGGGCCTAATTCAGCAGGAAGCAATGCCATTTAGGTGAAGAACAATGATAATAATGATGGACCACAAAGAAGGTACTGGAAATGAGGTCAGCAGGAAAATGAAACCAGCCCCCAGGTCTACCCAGGTGTGCAAACTCTTTGCTCAGCGTAACAGCTATGTCAGTGACACTGATTCAGCAGCACCCTATTCAAATGCCTAGATAAATTCAGATATTTATCTAAATTCAGAATTTAAAATTAATTCTTCAACAATGCAATCTTTAGACCCACAAGCTATGCGAAAGCACTTTTCTGTTGTTCTGCCAATAGCCTAAGAATGCACTGCCTTTGACTCCCATGGAAATGTTTTCCATGATTGTTTCTCATCCAAGATACTGTCTTTTCTATGTGTGATGAGAAGAGAGGTCACAAGGCTGAATTGCACGTAGGAAAGCAACATAAGAAGATTAAGTGGATGTAGCAAAAACTGAAATGACTTGCTCACAGCAGATAGTGTCTGAAGAGAATGGCCAGTGCTCAACCCCATGCAACTGTATTTCTGCATGAATAAAATTCTAGATCCTCAAATATTTCAGCTGGCAATATAAACTCGTGGGCTGGGATTGTAGCTCATGGGAATAACATTTACCCAGAGTACACAAGGCCCTTAGTTCAAGACCTAGTATTGCTATTATATATAAAAGCTTATGTATGACTTTTTATATATAAGCTTATTTATAAAAATTCATACATTTATACAATATTTCTCTGCTAGATAAACCATACCTAGAAGACAGATTTCATATGCCAATTTGGTACAGCAATATGGATGGGATAGCATTAATTGTCAAGTTGACACAATTTAGAATCACCTGGGAGGAGAGTCATAATGAGGAATTGTCTGCACTGGGCTGGCCGGTGGGCATGCCTCAATTAAGCTAATTGGCGTGGAAACACCCAGCCCACCGAGGGAGGCATCATTTGCTGGGCCGAGTCCTGGATAGCATAAGGGTGGAGAAATTGAGCTGAGCACAAGCAAGCATGCTTGTGCATATTCATTCTCTCTGCTCTTGACTGGAGACGTGATATGATTAGCTGTCTCAATCTTCTGCCATAGACTTCTCTGCAATGTGAGCTGGAATTGTGAGGTAAAATAAACCTTCCCTCTCCAGCACTGCTTTTTTTTTAAGAGAATTTTATCGCAGAAACAGAAATGAAAGTAGGACAATGGACAAAGAAAATGGAAAATGGCTAATCAGAGACACGATAGCAGAACCACTTCTCTAGTTATTAGTGGATTCTTGGGTCTTAATTACAAAGTACTTTTCCTGAAAGTGTTATCACACTTAAGGTTTCTGACACACAAGTCAGGCTGTTTGAGCTTCTAAATACTCCGCCAGACATAGAATTCTCTCAATAAAGTAATGGTTCAGGGGAAGACAATAGTAGTTAACACTTTTAAGATCCTAGCTGTCTCTGAAAGTCATTATCAGGGCAGTGGTAAGAGACCTCAGCTTACAGATGTGCTGTTAGGCTGATTGCAGACTTCTGGAAGAGAAAACACCAAGTGCCACTGAACGCAAGACAATGCCAGCTATCTCTAGGGGAAATGCAAAACAGAAAGAAGCAAAGAGAAAAGATATTCTCATCGGGCCAGTAATGTTTACAGCCTGTGAGGAGTGCCAGGAACATCTTAGGGAAAGGCATTGTGTTTATAAAGTAAGGTCAAGTTCAATATTCAAGCATAGCACGCACTGCTGAGAAGACACGTCTTCATTTTTCTTTAGCACAGTGGTTCTCAACCTTCCTCATGCCACGGCTCTTTAACACAGTTCCTCATGTTGTGGTAACCCCCAATGGAAAAAATTATTCCATTGCCACTTCATAAATGTCAAACTGCTACTTTTATGAATTGTAATGTAAATTTCTGATATGCAGGCTATCTGCCATGTGACCCCTGAGGGGGTCATGACCTTATGACCCTCAGGTTGAGAACCACTGCTTTATAAAGACTCTAAAAGTGATGAATCATGTTCGTGCTATCCCACTTCTCCCTTCACTTGAAAACATAAAGTCTAATATTTAACATTTCTAAGATGTTTCCAGACAATCTGCAGTTGACAATGACAATACAGAATGAATTAGTGATGGATTATTCTAGGCTCGGTTCCATTTTTTTTTTTTTTCATTGAGGCCTGAGATATCTTTCACTCGTTTACTTCCACACAACTGTGAATCAGCAGAGTGACCTAAGCTGGGGTGTGGAAGCACTGGGAGAGCAGCATTTAAAGTTAAAGGCGTGGGAAAGGAAGATGGCTACCTGCTCAGGCTTCAGCCCCGGCGGGACCCAGGCGTACTCTTCCAAAGCACAGCCCGAGTCATCATCAGAGGTCGAGTTCCTCTGGAAGTCAAACATGAGCTTGCTGATGGTCTTCTCCATCTCCAGTGGCATCACTGTTACCATGTGCTCCTCCTGGGGACACTTGCAGTGCAGGCAGATCTTCCTGGAGGCAGCAAACACAGCAGGTCAGAAGGAAGAAGAAAGCCATTTGCTTTTCAAGAGGCTGCCAGTCACCAGCCTTTGGATCCCAACCCATAAACGGTCACCAGCTATGATCTAGAGAGCACTGGTTTATAAAGGACACAAACACACATGTGTCATATGAAAGCCACTTAGGAGATCACCAAATACCACACCCACACCCACCCACACACCCCGCAGACCTATAGCTATGGACCATAACCACAACTTCCTTTACTGTAATATCCATTGTAATAGATTTAAATATATAAAACCCCCACACTAACCAGAAATATGACCAGATATGACAGATACTGACATGTCCTTTTTAAAAGCTCTTCAATCCAAACAAGAAAAAAAAAAAAAAAAAAAAATTATAAAAAAAAACATGGGTATGATTTTTTTTTTTTTTAGGATCAAGAACAAATGTTTCCCCCTAAAACAAAGGTGGCCACAAGATCCTCATAGGAAGATAATTCACCACCGTTTAAGGTCCATGATTCGGAGTCTTAATTAGAAACTTAAAATGTAGTATTGCTTGTAGTTATTTTATTTAAGTTCAGATATCTGAATTATTTTTTTCTGAGAGACAGAGAAAGAGAGAGAGAGATGTTTCTTGGGTACTGTTTACCTTTGTGAGATAAGATGGCCTAGAGTTCACCAAAAGGGCTAGACTGGTGGCCAGCCAGCCCCGGGGAACCGCCTCTCTCAGCCTCCCTCTGCCTCTGTAGCACTGAAGTTATAGGTGTGTGCTATCACGCCTGACCCTGTTCCTCTTGACTGAGCTCTCCTTCTGGATGTGTCTGAAGTACTCCATAGCACCAGTCAAGGATGCAAATCCTTCGACCTGAGCATCTCCTTCCATGTTTCCAGCTACTTCCTAATCCCTGTCTAAATATTGTAACAGCGAAAATGGTAAGGTCAAGCAGCACACACGTACCTCTCTCTCTTACCAATAAAATAAACAGAATAGAATGGAGGAGGCAAACGTTCACAAACTATTCCCTGTGTATGCTGATCTTCTTGTAGCATACTATAAAGGCAATGAAAGAGCCCAGAATTCTAATCTCCACATGTCTAAATTTTGTGACAACAGCTTTGTTAAGATAATTCACATAGCATAAAACCCACCCTTCCAAAGCATATAATTCAGTAGCTCTTAATATAGTTAGGATTTCACAATCTCCACTAATTTTAGACACCCCCACTAAACACATGAGCATGAACAGAAACTTCTCATAGCCCAAGCTCACATAACCTGACAACCACTAATCTTTCTGTCTAGGTTGGTTTTGCCTATTTTTGGACATTTCACATAAAAGAACCATGCAAAATATAATCTTTTGAAACTAGCTTCTTTCAGATAAAATAATGTTATAGTTTATCCATGCTGCAGTATACATCAATCTCTTGAATGGCTTTACTTATTGCTGAGGGACAGTCCACCGCAGAAATGCATCACGTTTGTGCATTTATCAACTGGTGGCTATTTGGACTCTCTGTTCTTTTGACCAATTCTAATGTCAACGTTCAGGCTCAAGATTTTATATAGATCTATGCCATCATTTCTCTTAGGCATACACCTAGCAATGGAATCACGACATCTCGCATTTATCATCTTGAAGAACTGGCAAACTGTATTCCGAAACAGCTAAACAACTTTAAGTCCCACCTTTGATGAAGGCAGCTCACATTTTGTCTAACTCTTGCCACAAGTGTGATGGTCTATCTTGTCAACTCGGGCCACCCTAGTGGATGTGAAATTGTATCTAATTGGGGTTTTGATTTGCATTTTCCTAAGGGCCAGGCTAGGGAAGTTGATCACCTTCTTAAGTGATTATTACATGCCTTCTTTAGAACTTGTTGGAAGGAACCCCTAAAGGGAGGGCAGAGTGAAGAGCCAAAGGAAGGCCTGGCGAGCCCTAAACACAAACTTACAGAAGACACACTTGATTTCACATGGAATAGCTGTTCACTCCTAAACAACAACAACAACAAATCGCTCAGAAAAGCAAAGTCAAGGAGAAAAGGGGAAGGAAAATAAACCCAGTAAATCAAAACCACAAGGGCTTTATCTTTCTTCTCTGTTAGCTGCCAGCCTTCTAACCCTCATTTATAATTAACTGGAGCTCCCACAGCAAGGCATTTTTATTTGCAAAGATTCTTAACCTTTGAATGATTCCATGACAACTGGAGACACTAATTTAATAATCTCCATTTACAAGTTGGAAACCCAAGTCCTAGGTGCTTTGAAAGGAGCAGAGACAGGTAAAACCAAGAAGGATCTCTGGCTCCTCAATCTCTCCCTTCCCTTTTGGAAAATACGGTGGCAGTCAACAGCTTTCTCTTTTGATGCGCCAATTAAACAATTTCACCCAAATGAAGCATAATTAGGAGTGTGTGTGTGTGTATGCATGTAGAAGCATGTGCAAGCATGTGCATGTAAATAAGAAGACATTTGGATTTTATAAGAAATATACATTCGTGAACATAGAATCTGCTGGTAAAGCAGGATTTCATTAAGCAAATATTCATGCATGCTTGAGTGTACACACAGAGAGAGAGAGAAACAGAGACAGAGAAAGAATGCATTAATTTCACTCTGTCAGAGTTGACATTCTATCTGTACATAATTGGATATGTCAATGACAGGTTTTCAAGAAACCATTCCTGAGAAAAAGAATGGAAATGCTGTGTTCACCTCCCTTCCCAGCCTTTATCCCCAAATAACCTCTGCAAATGCCTCACCATAGTTGCAGTGATCAATTCATTTGGTTCTGCAGCATGGAATCCACAATCCCCTCTTCTATAGACTGAACTATTGCCAGGTGGAGTCCATTTCCTGAACTATCTCAGCATAGCCCAGTTATCTCCATCAGCAACCACAGCATTTGCATGAAGACCAATGATTTATGCCAATGAACTACTTGCACGGTGTGAAAGAATTCATTATAAATGGATGGGAGGGCGATTTCCAAGCACAGAGATTCTACCTCACTTGAGAACATTTCTGACAGGTCAGAGTGATCATTAGCAGCTTTAAGTCTTCCTTTTCTCCCCCCTTTACCTATTTTCCTTTTTAATCCAGAATTTTTTTGAAAAAGAAAATATAGGTGGGAAGCTTCATACATAAAATTGAGCTGTCTAAACTAAAGCTACAAGACTCTCAACCTTCTCTCCAAACTTCAGGCAAATATGTGGTTCTCCCATACTTGGGGTTCCAAAGACACAAGTCTAAAAAGCATCCTCTTCCCTGGATCCTCTAAGATCTCTCAATTCTTAAGATCTCTCAAAACAGGAACTATGTGCTTTATACCTTGGAAGATGGAAAGAAATAAAGCAAAAATTTCTGATAGATAACACACAGAGACAGAGAAGCAGAGAGACAGACAGACAGACAGACACACACATGTTAACTCTTAATCATGAAAGCCTTTATAAATGATGAATCTGGTCAAAGGAAACTGTTCATCCGGTTGCCAAGTCATGGTAAGAAGAGATACTCAGGAGTAGAGGCCATTTCCCTGTGATGGATTAGACAGATCTCAATCAGGGCAAATGACTGGGCATGTTCAGGATGATATCAGTCTAACTAACCACACACAACACACTTGGAGGATGCTCTTCTGCAGGCAGTCTCTTGGATAGAAAGAAGCCTTTTTAGATCACAGTGAAAACTAGTATGAGTTCTAACAACAGACATGATGCTCCAAGAAATCTAGGTAGTAAACATTTTTTAACTTCTTCAAGAGGATTTATGCTAACCCAAAATAATTGTCACGTTGGACGCTCTTATAGCACTCAGCCTGCCTGCCACTCATCTGGATATTTTGAGTGTAGAAGCATCCTGTTGAGAGGCAGGATTACCTCTCTGCTTGTAACTTTGCCATCTATTCTCCTGCCTCCCACCTCACCTGGGGTATTGGTTCCATAGCTTCAAGTTGGAGGCCAGATCAGGTTCAGGCTACCTGTACATATGGAGGGTGAGGTAGGCTGCTAAAGCATCTGAGGCCCATTGTAAACCAAAAGATGGGCAGGAGGATTCAATAAGGGCATGCCTCGGGCAGTCAAGCAAACTATGGGCAAGTAAACCTCTGATAAAGACAAAAGGCTAACATAACCCAGAGGTATCCACAGCTTTTCCCCAACTGACAAATGTGTCCCTGGGTATTTAAGTTCTCTCATGACTATCATACCAAAAGCAAAAGAATCATTTTCTTCACAGTAATAAAGAGGGGACTATTTTTTTGTTTATTATACTAATAATTTAAAGTTACTGCTTTCTTCTCTTTAACATACAATTAATATAGAGAAAAGTCACAAATTACAGATAAGAAAGAAGGAGGAAAAAAAAACTGTAAATACCCACAATCCCAAAGATAATCACTGTTAAACAGAAACAGCTGCTGGACCATTTTTTCCTTAATACTAAGAAGCTGGAGACCAGACTTCAATCTATGTGTTCCCAGGGAGCCAAGGGATAAGAATCTGGCCTGGACAACAATATGTGAGACCAGACACACCGACACACAGACACACACACACACCATTCTAAGCAAATAGATGTTCATTATTTAGCGCAGATACCTAAGTTTGTTCTCACCTAGTGCCATTAACCAGGACTGAGACTTGACTAACTTAGTGTATAGGTAACTGCCAGTGTGGGAATTATGAGTCTAACTGTAGGTTAGTTGTCTCAGTTACAACACATCTGAAAAACAGGTTTCATTTGTTGTCAACTTCCAATTTTCTGGGCAAGAAGAGAGCAATAAAGCATGGACAATTTAAGACCACTAAGATTTGGCTCTGAATTGCGTCTCTGTGTATCAGTCACACACTCTCCAATGCTGTGATAACTTCATCACTTCAAACCACCTAATGGAGCTCCTTTGTGGGAAGGAGCCTGGCTTCCTTCACTGGCTCCACCGCCCACCTTCCCTGCATTCCTAACAAGATATCAACTCTTCATGTGAACCATTGCAT